TAAATTTGGATGGCCTTCTCAATTAAGAGTGGCCCTCCTCTCTAAATGGAGTTACAAAAATTTTCACACCTCTAACCCCTCACTCTCTACCCTTATTTATAGTAAACATCAATGAATGAGATCCCTTTGATTAAAATCTTATCCAAAAACATCAAAAATCAGCCTTAGATTCGTAACTAACTGTCGGAGGTATCGATACCAGCATCGATAGGGGTATCGATGCTGGCATCGATGCTGGCATCGATATCAAGTTGTTCCTGGTTGTTGTATGAAGATCCCTCTTGAGTTTGCTCTTGGGCTTGAGCCTTGGACAATTTCTTGGCAATTTTGGGCTTTAATACTTCATTAAATATTTGAAAGAAATTATTTGGCTTCATGGGCTTCATTTCTTTAATAAATCAATGAGTTCTTGTTGAGAGATGAGAGTTTGAGATTTATTCTTTATTAACCTGCATTTAAAGATAAAATCATTTATTAGTGACATATTTATTCATATAAAATAGATAATGAGGGTATAAAATTATAATAAAATGTGATTATCATGTTGTGTATTTTTGATATTTGTGTTGTGATGTTGTAATTTTATAATTTTTATCAATGTATACAATGTAGATGATATGATTTTGGCAAAATTTTTGAAAAGATACGAAGATAGCGGCATGTGCATATTTTGTGCATGTTTTGCCTCAGCCCAGCAAACGTACGGGACTACTAGTCCCGTACGTTTGCTGGCCAGAGGCAAAATATCTCTGCTAAACGTATGAGACTATTAATCCTGTACGTTTGCTGGGCAGAGGCAAAATATCTCTGCTAAACGTATATGACTACTAGTCCCGTATGATTTCAGTGAGTGCTAATCCGTGATTAGACGACTGAAAACATACAGGACTACTAGTCTCGTATGTTTTCAGCTAAGTGTTTTTTAAAATCGACCTCTTTTTGGCCAACAGGTCAAAAAGAGGTATGTTTTGCTAATTAATTAGCAAAACGGTCTGTTTTGCTAATTATTTAACAAAAGGGTTTGTTTTAAAAAATCCCATTAACTTATTGTCCTGCTCTTTTCAATATCGAAGTCGACTGTAACTTCTTATAATATGTATAAAACATCTCAAACATATATTAGACCAATATCAAAGTTTCTTATTCATCAAACTTATTTGATTACATGGACACGGTTCTGACACGAACCATTTTATATTTGAAACCTAATTGAACCGACCAAAATTAGTCCAGTTGGTCCGATTTAGTCTATTTTGTTTGGACTTTGATTAGTTTAATTAATAAAAACAACTTTGATGTTAAAAGAAGATGAATATCAAGAAATCGGTGAAGAAAATGTGAATAAAAGAAGCATCGCTAAAAGGAAATTGCAAATTAATTAAAACAATAAAAATTATAATCATCTTATTAAACAATGAGTTTGTTTGCTTCAATTAGTCTATAGAAAGTTTAATTTCTCTTTACTACATGTATGGTCGGCTTTGGTTCTTTCTTATATCCATGTTAACGGTGAATGACGACATGACCCTCTCTTCACCTTCATGGATGTTTAAAAGAAGAAGGTCATACATCCCTAGTTAGAGAAATTATTTTTTCTATCTACTAATTTCTATGGATACAGTTCATATCCTATTTTTGTAAAGATACTTTTGCTTTTTAATGAACATGGTATATCCCTTGTTTCTCTCTCTCTCAAAAAAAAAAAAAAACAACGAGTTTGTGTTAAAAAATTGAGAGAGAGAGAGATTGGTTCAAATTGTTCAAATTTAAAATTTCCCAAACTAAACCAACAGAAACATATTCTAAAATTGAATGGAACGATCAAATCTGGTCGGTTCAGTCGACTTAATGGGTTTGAGAGTTAGCCTTTAAATAGAGGCTAGAAATCGAATTTAAGCCAAAAGCTTAAGCTATTAGGTATCGTCCTCAACTCTAATTTAAATCATCACTCTTGTATCCACCACTAGTGCTAAAATCAGTATTTACTTTGAAGTTTCTCTTAGTTTGCCTCTATCTTGTGGGGGATTAACCGAATCTCAATGCCAACTTTGACTGATAAAATGATTGCCAGAATTAACTGTTGGAAGTCAAGGAAATTATCTTATGCAGGGAGGGTGACCTTAGTCAAAGTTGTTTTACTTGGCATTCAGATATTTTGGATTAATGATTTCTTGCTGCATAAATCTGTCTTGAACACCATTGAGTCGGGTTATAGAAAATATCTCTAGGGAGGAGGTGATAACAAAAATTCTCTTGAGGTATGCAAATCAAAATCTTCAGGTGTCCTTGGTGTCTATCATGCTTATGGCTGGAACTCTGCATCTATTGCTAAATTGATTTGGGAAATCCAATGTCAAAGAGTTTACTTGTGGATAAGTGGGTTCAAGAATCTTTTCTCGGAAATAACGATATTTGGCTTGTTCAAGTGGAGTGGTGATTCTTAGCAATTGAAGCAATTATTGAAAGTTAGGAATCATCTTTTATAGTTGTGGGGCTTTATTGATGCCAGCAAGCTTAATCTTTCTAAATGCTTGATTACTGATAACATAAAATTTTCTCTAGTATACAAGCCTATCTATGATGATACTCCTACAGCTCCTTGGAGTAAATTGGTTGGATCTCGTCTAAATGTTCCTAAGCCTAGATTTATCGAGCGCCTTGTTGCAAGGCAGAAATTAGTTACACAAGACAGGCTTGTGAGATTTACAATTATCCAGGATAACGAATGTCGTTATTTGTGTATGCGTCAAAAATTGCCTATAGATTGCAAAGAAGCTTAAAACTGATGAAAACACTGATATCTTCCAAACTAGAGGGAATTTGACAAAACGGACGGTTAGAAAGTTATGACCCGTTCTTCAATTGGTAGCATGTTCTGAAGTCCACCTGAACTGATCGAACCTCGCCTATAGGTTCCTGGAACATAGTTCGAGATGAAGCGAAGGCGATGAACATCGTCATCTAAGTCAAAATAGATCATCCGAGACCAAAAGGAAGCAAAGGGACACGTGCGAAATGACGAAACACGCGAAACGACGGAACAAGACAAAATCAGAATTTCCCAGTCACCTCAAAGTGACTCGGAAAATCCGAGTCACTTCGAAGTAACTCGGAACAGTGCCGATCACACTGAGGTGACTCGCACATTCAGCCTCCCGACGACGCGTTTTTGATGTTTTCTCAAGATTTGTTCGATCTACTGCCTTCTAACTGCCTTAGGATCATCCCTAAATGTGGTTAAGCCGTTATTAACTGAATATAAGGTCAAATCACAAATTCTTATTTGAAAACATGGTGTCTGAAGCCTATAAATACACCCCTAGGGCCCCTATGCACGGGTGATCTAAAATTTGAAGCTTGGAGGTGAGGTGTTGACGTTGTGAGAGAAAAACCCACGAATTTTCGAGAGAGGCAAGCGAGATCTTGGCGAACTTAAGCATAAAGAGGAAGATTTCGAGAGATCTGAAGCCCCTTTTCATCCCCTTCCATTGAGATCAGACTTTGTTTTGATCTTGAGAAGAGTAGTAATCTCACTTGGTTGAGATTATTTACTTCAGTTCTAAGTTTTCTCGATTAAGATGAAGAACACTACGCCTTCTTTCAAATCAATCCGGATCTATTAATCGGTCGTTCACGGACTAAAGCGTCTCCGGAACAGGCAAAGATCCCATGCAAGCAGCAAATCGATAAACGATCTCTGCGTGTGTTTCTAGGAGATCTTATCTGTTTATTTTCGTTGTAACAAGAGATCTTATAAAAATATCAACTCTCTTGAATCTGTAATTGATAAACAATTGTAATGGATTCAAGAATGAAAAAGATTTTCGACGCAAAGAGTTTGTACCTATGTGAGGAGGAATCTATTAAGCATCTTTTCTTTGGTTGTTGCTTCTCCTCTTCTATTTAGAGTCTGGTGATGTTATTGAATGGTTATTCTCATTTCAGCCTCCTACGGTGTGATGTTCTTAACTACCGCTAGCTATTCTAGATTGCATGGTATGTCTAATCAAAGGAAAGTTATGAAGGACTATTGCCACGCACATTTATTGTTATAGGTTGCCTCAAATACCCAAATCCATATTACTTTGGGAGTTCTTTTTTAGGTTGATTTGTTTTGATCAAGAGTCCTACTTATATTAGACTTTGCACAACCAATCATATTAGAGATTTATTTCTACTTGGACTCTTGTTGGGTTTTAGCACATGTAGACTTTTAATCCTATTAGAACTCTTATTCCTTAGACAGTAAGTCGTTAGAATCTTCAAGGCTATATAAGAGCAATCTTTCAAGCCAATAATTAATCATCAATCTTTAGAGCACCAATCAAGAAGAGAAAGTTCTTTTGTGAAGCCTATTTGATATTCTTCTCTTTTGTTTCTTTTATTTAGAGAGATTGTACGGGAATTTTGGGGTGTTATTTAGGATTGAGATTGAGAGTTTCCGGTTTGTATTCCTCACAATCAGTTAAGCTATTCTCCTCTTTCGCTCGTGGACGTAGGCTCTCTAAGCCGAACTACGTATATCTTTGTGTTCGTGTGTTCTTGATATTTTTCGTGCTCTCGTGTGATTGATATTAGCTTATCCTGGGGAATTTGTCATAACATTTATCATTCATAATTGAAAGCAATAGTAGGATTTTCGCTCACAAATCTTCCAGTGAGTGCAAATTGATTCATAATATCAAGCGTGAGATGTTTCCTCGTGTCTTCAAACCCAAGATTGCTATTCACACAATTTTGGATCTTTTTTAGTTTAGTCGTACGTAATTGTATCTTGTGCATTGTTCAGTTTTCTTCCTGGGTTATCTAGACTCTGTACATCATTGCTCATTGGTAATGAAAATTTTTGCTTATAAAAAATTTTAATTAAGAAAATTAAGCGAGAAGAATAATTAGAAAATTCAGCAGCAAGACGTGGAACAATAAAACAAAAACTCCATTTTATTTGGTAATATTAATCAATATTACAAGAGGAGATTGAGCGATTGAGCTAATCATCGTTCATTATTAACTCTTCAAATGTTCATTCACAATATCTATAGGAGATCAACGGGGGAGTGGACGGAGGGCAGCATCCTTAACAACGAATCCCTTCTTCACGCAGTTTGAAGTGTCAACGACAGAGAAAGTGATGTCGCCGCTCTCAACGGCCTCAAAGTAACCGAGCACCATCATCACAAACTCATCCGTTGGGAATTTGGTCAGGTCTACTTTGCGTTTTTGTGTGGTTCCATCGGGAAGGTTAAGCTCTACGTTCAAAGGGCAGGAATCCCATCCTTCGTTACCGTTAGTCTTCATGCACAGTAGCACTGCCTGATACTTGAGACCCGGTGTCAGTTTCGACATCTTGAAATCTCCACGGATCTCCACATGCGTCGTCCCCATCAGTTTCGGTGCCTCCATCCCCAATCTACCGATGCTGTGTGGTTTATTATGCATGAAAATTAAATTAATTGATACCATCTAAATTATAATGAATAACATATATATGTACGTATACATGCATATATGAATTCAGAAACATATACTTGCCTTCCGAAGACCAGGGAGTGCCAGACCCAGGATTTACCGTCATCTATGAATTCAGAAACATATACTTGCCTTCCGAAGACCAGGGAGTGCCAGACCCAGGATTTACCGTCATCAACATTAGTAATGTCGAGCTCTCTCGGGTATTTAAGCATGCCCCTATCGCCGTTCCTCTCCTCCATCCATGAGTTCTGTACGGTTGATTATTAATTAATTTGAGAACATATATAATAAGCTTAGACATAGCAATTGAAGGATACATGCATGCATGTATCTTTTTATGTAGACAAGTACGTAGCTAAACAATTATTATTTACTTGCCTCTGTGTACACCTTTGGTAGCTCCTTGGCAACAGTAGCCATCTCTTGATATTAAGTGTTTGAAGGGTAATTACTTATAAAAGTGTTTTTTTCTTCAGAGGATGTAATACATGGTGAATCCCTTGGGGGATGCATTTATAGGTTTCAAGAGCTCCACCTACTCACTTTTAGGAAACAAGCCACCCACTTGGAATCAACGGTGCTCCGCGTAGATTTGGAAAGTTTTCCAAACTATACATGATTTTTGAAATTCAAAGTTAAAAGGGTCGATTCAAAATTATAAGGGTTTTATTAGTGTCTAGAGTGTCAATTTCAAAACTGGGACAACTTAGTTAAAACACGTACGCAATCGTGGTCTCATCAACTTGACAAAGAAGCGCATAAATTGGTAGGTGAAGTCGTGAAATCAATAGTATGTTAATTCTTTTCAACTCCGTGGCTGCCCCTTTGTTTCATAATTCTTGTGCTTCATTATTCCGGTATTAACCGTACTATATATGACGCTTCCTCTTCAAACAGGAAAACAAGACCAATTAAGGTAAAAAAAAAGGGCAATAACACTGTAGTCTCTCGCATCACGTTTCTTTGCTATCCCCCCAAAAGGACTAATTACCGCATATTACCCAAGAACGTACTGGACATATTAGGTCGGCAGCAACTTAAAAACTCAGACCTTTTCGATATATAATATTTTAAGAAATACTTTGTAGGCCGAATATGTATGTATTAGTATCTCACTGCGTGTACCATTTACTGAGGGAAAGCAAACACAAATAAAAAAGACATTTTACGAATCTACTGAAAGACATTTTACGAATCGATGCAGAATAACTAGTTGCAGAATAACTTATTTATTGTAACTTATTATGACATAGTGCGGAAGCAAAACCGCTGAATCTACTGAAAGACATTTTACGAATCGATGCAGAATAGTTTAAATCCACGAAAAGCAATAATTATTCCAGGGTTTAAAATCCTCAAAACATAGTAAGAATCCGAACAGGATTGGAATTACTAAAAATATACATGATTTTGGAGACTAATTGATCAAATCTAACATCATTCATTTGCTAATTAAAATAAAAAAGACTCTAACATCATTACTAAAATTTTAAAAAATTTAACGCAAAGTTCTCTCTCTCTCAATCTAAAAGGAAATTCGTTAACCAAAGCGTCGACCGACTTAAACAAAACTTAGTTAGATTTGATTAGCTTCATCTCGAAAAAATATGCTGTTTTATATAATATATGTCTGGAAAAAAGTTTTCAGCAGCTACTTACTACCTTCGTATTAAATAAGTAAATTTATTCCATTTTTTTAGGTAATTTTTTTGAGGAATAATTTATGTCGTGTTATTCTTCACAGTTTAATATTAGAGAAAAGTCATACCTAGATATTCCACGTGGCCTGAACAGTGAAAGAAAAGCAACTCATGATAAGTTTCATAAGCGGTGGCTATGCTATTAGATTTCCCTCCATGACTTGGTCCAAGTGCATGCATGTGGTAGCCATGATGCTTCCAAAAAATATCTAACCAAGACTTACTATATATAATTATATACCAGAGGGAGACTAATCATATTTTTCAAACATTTTGTATCACCTACCATCAAAAGTACACATGCATCATTCAAAAAAATAAAGACTAGAAAAAATTAAAAAAATGTACATGCATGATTATCTTAATTAGTAGCCACAGTCTCATCTGGCTTGTTGTATTGTTGTTGAGCAACATAAATAGAGTGTGCATACAAATCCTGAACTGAACTACGTACGTAAGTACTAAAAACAACAACAACAATAATAACAAATAATAACAACAGTAATAATAATAATAATAATATTAATAATAGTTGTGAGAAATACCAAGTAACTATTTTATTTTGCTATTTTGCCTTGAAAATGAGCAAATTGGTTGTTATATGTCTGTCCGCTGACAGAGAAGCCTTAAGAGAGAAAAAAAAAATTAAAATAGAATAAAAAAAGAAGTAGATATGATAGCTTTTAGAAATTAGATTAAGCCGAGAAGGCATAGATGGCTGTACATGTTTCTTCTCTTGGAGCTCTTGGTCTCAATGCCCTCATTTTTTGACGACAGTACCATCAAATTCAAAGTTTGAAAAGTACTCGAAAACTATTGTTAAGAATATTATTCTATATTTCTTTATGATCTTGGTAGTTGAATTGGAACCTATAAATAGCAGCGTAGTCTGAGATTTGAAGGGCAGAAGTAAGAGAACTTAGAGAAGTATATATATTAAAAGAGCATTCCGAACCCCATCTTTATTGAAGAAGATTAATATTAATTACGAAGAGAGTAAGATGGACGGGCAACCAGAGCTGTTCGCAGAGGTAATAATAACCTTATTATATATTAATTGTTGTGTGTGAAAGTAAAGAACATAAGTCCGGGTTTTGTTTCCTCCACTCTTAATTAATTATTCGCTTGTTTAATTAGAACTCATGGAGGGAGGAGATGACAGGAGAAAAGGGCATTCTTATTTATCCAAGGGAGCTCGAAGTTGTCGGAGGTGACGATGATAGTTGTTGGCTCTGGCACTCCCTCATTCTTGAAAGGTAACAATTAATAACTTCCTCGTCGATCTCTTTTAATTAAATCTCTATGTATGTATATAGAGTAAATTGATATATGCTTGCTTGAAATTTCATTCATATGTATGCATGAATTAATGCAGCCAAGGGCAACTGGGAGTCGAAGTGCCGAAACTTATGGGAACAAAACACGTGGAGGTCCATGGGAGGTGGAAAATATCGGAGCTCACCCCTGGCCTCAAATATCAAGTGCTCTATATGTTAATGGTGGAGGATCCTCTTGAGGGTTGGGACAACTGCCCGTTGAAGCTCAGGGTTACACTGCCTGATGGGAGTAGCCAAACACAGCAAGTAGACCTGTGCAAGTTGCCCAAAGGACAGCTCATCATGACCGTCGCTGGTTACTTCGACTCCGTCGGCGATGGCGAGGTTATCTTCTCTGTGATTGAGACTTCCGACGTCGTCAAGAAGGGGCTCGTCATCAAGGATGCCGTCATTCGTCCACTTCCACCAATGTCACTTCTGCTGATGAACCAAAAATGAATTTTCCGCTAACTGCATCCATGCAGAAGATTACATAATCATGTTACTCAATAAAATGGAACGCCTAGCTGTTTCTTCATTTTCTTATACTTTTCTTTGGAATGTCTGAATAATATGATTCTTGATGGATGAATATTTTGTTGGAAATTGAGGTTAAATCTGGAATTAAACAGTAAAGGATGATGTACTGAATTTTAAACTTTTTCAAGTTAACTGCTGTGCGTTTGTGAAACGCTGTGCTTAAAGCAATAGTTGGCCTACTCCAGTGGAAAGATCCCAAGGCCAAACTGCTTCCATAAACAACAGTACAGTACTCTGGTGTGCACCAACCCAGTACTGTCAAGATCTCCTCGATCTATAAGACCTTTCGGTCAAGGCAAAAGATCTCCTCGATCTCAGAACCTTTCCGTTTCAGGGTTCCTGCGGGCACAGTTCTGCAGCAGCAGCACAACAACAGCAATAACAACGTCGATCCGACGTTCGTTTTCCAAGCTCGCGTGTGTATACCGACGTTCGTATTCCACGCTCACGAGAGAGTTTCCAGCAGCAACCAAGAGCTGTCCAATGGCGTTATTTATAGGCCTCTAAGGCCAGCTCAGGAGTCACTAGTAATTAATGTGACTGTTATAATTCTCAATGGTAATTAAGATTATAACATCAATGCAGTAAATTGCTCTAATTACTATTGTAACTAATGCATGTAGTAACTCTTGAATACGAGGCAATCAATGGACGCGTTGCTACGAAACGCGAGGGTCACGTCTCATCAAATCAGACGAACCTCGTTTGATAAACGAACGTCGTCAAACAGGCAAACCTCGTATGACAGACGAACCTCATCAAATGAGTGAACATCGTCAAACAGGCGAACCTCGTATGACAGACGAATCTCGTCGATCGAACGAACCTCGTCAAACATGCGAACCTCATCAAACGAACAAACATCGTCAAACAGGTGAACCTCGTATGACAGACGATCCTTGTCGATCGAACGAACATCGTCAAACAGGCGAACCTCGTATGACAGATAAACCTTGTCGAACGAGCGAACCTTGTCAAACTAAGAGAACGCTAGGGTCACCCTCGTGCGAATACGTAGCTCGTCTTCAGCAAAGTCAAGAAACACACATATGTTTACCTTTGGTTCGAGCTTAGGTCTTCTGATATCTGGAACTCGAACATATGCGAGACACCCCTACACTTTAAGACTATCCAAAGGATCTGGATATTCCAACCATAACTGATGAGGAGTACTATAAGTTTTGGAATATGATACTCTATTCAAAATCCAGTTTTCCATCAGCGAAGCCTCTCTCCAATAGCATGTAGGTAGACCGGATGTGATTAGCATCAAATTCACCATCTTGGTCAATGTGCGATTCTTTCTTTCTGTAATTCCATTAGATTGTGGAGAATACGGAGCAGTCGTTTCGGCAATGATTCCATGCTCCTTGAAGTATGCCTCCGACTCCTTAGATTGGTACTCCCGTCCTCTGTCACTCCTGAGTCTTTTCACCTGAAGTCCAAGCTGCTTCTCCACTCGAGTCCGAAACTCGACAAACTTGCTGAAGGCTTCATCTTTAGATTTCAGCAAGTAGAGGTGGCAGAAGCGAGAGTGGTCATCAATGAAGGTGATGAAGTACTTCATATCGCCTTGAGTGACGAAGCTCTTAAAATCACAAGTATCTGAGTGAATCAGATCCAATAGGTTGGTGCTCCTTGTGACACTTGGAAATGGCTTCTTTGTCAGCTTTGCTTGCGCACAGACTGCACACTTGTCAGGTTTGTTACCCCCATATTTTGGAAGTAATCCTAACTTCTCCATGCTAGACAGCTTTCTATAATTTACATGTCCTAGCCTATTATGCCATAATACAGAGGAGTAAGCAGAAGAGAATACTTTATTTACAACTAAGTTGGGTACAATAGTACTGATCTTATACATGCCATCAGTACGATATGCATTGCCAAAATATATTTTCTTAAAAGATAACAACCTTTTCTCCTTGGAAATCCAGCCTCATACCAGTGTCACACAGCAGGCTTTTAGAGACTAAGTTTTTGGTAATTGAAGGAACATGTTTTACATCCTTCAATGTGAGAGTCTTCTCTGAAGAAAGAGTCAGCACCATAGTCCTAGTTCTAAGAACAGGAACTACAGAATGATCAGCCATTGATACGTTCTTTTTGGCAGTAACATAGGAAGAGAACAAATCTCTGTTAGAGCAGACATGACAGGTAGCACATGTATCTAACCATCAACCAGAGACTTTGCTGGGAGTTGTCACCTGAAAGAGCATAGCCACACAATTGTCAAGTTGATTAACAAGAGAGGTTATAATTCCTAACACTTGAGGGAGTCACGGGCTAGAGACCAACACTTGAGGTGGTAGTTAGTATAGTTACATTGTGTGAATTGTAAAGTTTTCGGTTAGCTAGAAAACCGTATTGTGAGGTGTAAACGTTTTTCGGGTAAGCGTAGAAAACCTGGTGTGATAGTGGAGATATCCTCGTGGTGAGGAGCGGGGACGTAGGTCAGGCGGACCGAACCTCGTAAACATATCGTTTTGTTTGTGTTTGTATTTGCTGGGAGTTGTCACCTGAAAGAGCATAGCCACACAATTGTCAAGTTGATTAACATTGTGTACTGTTCTCTTCTTTGGTGCTTTGCAGTCTTTGGTAAAATTTCCTTGCTTCCCTCAATTGAAGCATTTGCCGCTCTTCTTGAAATCTTTCTTCTGAACATTCAGGTTCTTCGGATTATGATTCTTCTTTTTGTTAAAAGATTTCTTTTTCTTAGAAGAAGAATCGGTACCCTTCTCAGAGTTAGTAGCCACCATGTTAGCAGACGCCTTCTGCTTAGCTAGGAGATCATTCTTAGTGCGAGTCCGAATCTCGTTCTCAATCCGAATGAACCTCTTCAAATCAGACAAAGTCACATATCTTTTCCTTCTTCGAATGTCTGTGGAGAACGACATCCAAGATAGAGGTGTTGGCCTCTTTGTTTTGATAATGTTTAACAACCAATTTACCACTAATGTTGTTTGTCTAGTGTTTGTGTTTATCTATTTATTGTAGACAAACAACGAGTTGGAGGTTGGATGGAATCAAGCATTCACGATCATATCCAATGGAGGTTGACGGAATAATGGAGTGAAGCAATATAATTCAAGTTGAAGATCCAAGTTCAAGCTTCATCCGCAAGTTTTCCAAGAAGAGCTTATTGAAGATCAAGATCATAGCTTGGGTATATTTAGTATAGGTTTTATATTATGTGTGTTGGTCTCTTTGTTTTGATGATATTTAACAAACAATTTACCACTAATGTTGTTTGTCTAGTATTTATATTTATTTATTTATTATAGACAAACAACAAGTTAGAGGATGGATGGAATTGCGCATTCACGATCATATCCAATGGAGATTGGCGGAATTATGGAGTGAAGCCTTGCAATTCAAGTTCAAGATCCAAGGTTAAGCTTCATCCGCAAGTGTACCAAGTGAAGGTTATTAAAAATCAAGATTGCTTGGGTAACATTTAGTTTAGGAGTTATATTATGTGCGTTGGTACTTTAAGCTCAATCATACACACACATACACGTTTTGGTTTTTCTATGTATATATATAGTCGTAGCTTGCATTTTTATATAATTATGGCTATGTATGATGCATCTTGTTTAGGCTATGATCCTAGTGTTGCTCTAAAATTCAATGCTTTTCCCTATGATCAATGGTGCTTTAGATTCAAAATATTTGTTCAAGCTAAAAATATCGATCTATGGGAAGTTATTGATTGTGCTTATATTGTGCCCATGTTGGAGAAATCCAAGTGGAGCAAACATGATAAGAAGATGTTTACTATGAACAAGCTTGTGTTAGAATTTCTATTAAATGCATTTGATTCATCAATGTCTAACAAGCTTGATTCTTTTGATAGTGCTTATCTAATATTGTTTGTCTAGTGTTTGTATTTTGTTATTTATTATAGAAAAACAATATGTTGGAGGATGGATGAAATTGCACATTCACGATCATATCCAATGGAGGTTGGAGGAATTGTGGAGTGAAGCCTACGCAATTCAAAGTTAAAGATTCAAGTTCAAGCTTCATCCGCAAGTGTACCAAGATAGAGCTTCGTTGAAGATCACAAGCTTGGGTATATTTAGTTTTAGGTTTTATATTATGTGCGTTGGTACTTTAAGCTCAATCATACACACACATACACGTTTTGGTTTTTCTATGTATATATATAGTCGTATATATACATACATGTTTTGGTTTCCAAGTATATATAAATATGAATTACATCCTTCATATTTATTGTTTTGGTTTTTCAAGTTTAAATATGAAACAATAGAATATAATTAGAAAATATATTTTTGTTTCATGTTTATATGCTTATACATGATTTTATCAAATCAAGTTTATATTTAATGAAATCATATTTATTGTTTTTGAAAAGTTTACAAAAATATGCAATTTTGTGAAAATATTTTATTCTTAGTTTTTGGACTTAACAATAATCATATACATATTTTATTAAGTCTGCAAAATCATTTTGTAATGTTTCAAAACATGGTTAAGCTAAAATGTCAAAACTCATATGTTTACATTTTTATGTTTTGGACTATTTTGCAAAATGATAATATTTTTCATTTGGGAGGTCCTTTTTAAAAACTAGTTTTTGTAGCATGTTTATTATTATGTCTACAATCATTTTCCAAAGTTTTATATTTTTCTGAATTTATTTGATATTTTTAAACAAGGTTTTAAAATCAGTAAATCTGTTTTCAAACCTGATTTCATGTGTCAGTTTGCGGTCGACCGCCACGGTCGACCGCCTAGAGTCCAGAGACTCAGTATGTTCTTTTGTGGCTCCAAATGTTTCTAATGTTTCTCGTGCACATGTTTATGGTCAACAAAATCAAATGGGCCTCTTTCATTGCACTAATTGCAATCGGAAAGGTCATTTACACAATTTTTGTTTTGACCGTGTTCGTGCACCATATGTGCCCAAGAGGGTTCATAACACTAGGGCTTTAAGCTTAAATGATAGGGGTCATGTCCCTAACCAATCCGGCACCAAGTATTCTTGGGTGCCAAAATGATTTTTAAACCAAGAATTTTTGTACTTTTACTTTTTTTTCTTGGTTTTGATATGGGCTTTTTGGTCATTTCCTTTGGGGTTTTGGCTGAGAT